TTAATTTTGGAAATTGAGAAAAGAAATTTAGGAAATTTAGAAATTGAGAAAATTTAGGAAATTGTTTTAAAATTTTTTCTATCATGGTATTGAAATGTAAATGTTTTTAGGTTTATTAAAAAGAACCTTTATGAAATTTGTGACTATTGATTCTATTTAAAATTAGTTTATAAGAATCACCCTTTGGTTAGCTAAGTACCAGTGACAGTATTGAAATAACCTTGATTGACTTTCTTTCCTGCTTCGCTCTGTTTTGGAGGGTCTTTTCTTCTAGGGAGCCTGCTCCTGTCCTCTCACTTAACTTGGTACTCCCAGCGCTCAGAATTTGCATTTGACACTTCCTGTGGCCTCTTGAGTCAGCTTTGACGCAGAACAGCTTTGTGAGCATTTGGGCTTTGAGGCTGAAGGCACTATTGAAGTGCCAGGCCAAAAAAGAAGACAGAATGCTGGAAATAAGACTGGTTCTGATTCTTATTTAATTTCAGTACTATTTTGTGGCAGTCCTGCTAGTTATTGAAGAGAGAAAGTCAAAATGTGTCAACATGTTTCTTTATTTTCTGATGGGTCCCAGGGAAGAGGGGAAAAATGGGGTCATGTTTTATCAATCCCTTAGTCATGCTCTCTTTGCAAATATGCCCTCAACTGCATGTGTTTTAGATTATATAGTTATTTTGTGTATTCAGTAGACTATATTTTAAATTTAAGTTGAAGCTTCAAAGAAAAAGCTTCCTTGCAATTTTCCATGTACTCGAGTCTGTCAACCTGCTGATGTAGTAAGTGAATCTAATCATTTGATTGGATTATAGCATCATTTTTATCTCTGGGACACAGTGAAGGCCATGCTCTTTTACAAATGAATTAAATTAGGGGAAAGCAAAATAAGAAGTAAAGATTGATTGTTAGTTGAGATGAGTGTAACATTGAAATATGGAGTCTTGGGAGAAACTCATATGCCTTGTTGAATCGAGCAGTGGTTCTCAGCCCTGGATGCAACCTAGGGTCACACAGGAAGCCTAGAATCGACACTTAACATGCCTGGACCTCTCCCCAGAGACACTGATTTAGTTGGGGCCGATGTATCAGTGATTCCAACATGCATTCAGGTTTGAAAACTACTGATGTACATGAAAACCTAAGCTATTGAAAGAAGGTCACACCTCCAGTTCATTTGTCTGGTTGTTTTGGAGATGGGGCCTCAAGAACGGTTTTCCTGGCCTGGCCTTGAACTGTTATCCTCTCGGTCTCAGTCTCCTAAAGGTAGTGGTTAAATAGCCAACAGACAGGAGAAAATATGAGAAAAATGAGAGACAGAAACTTTTGGAGTCAGCAGAGGTTTACATTCCCTTATTCATAATTCCGGATTAATAAAGCTCTGAAATACAAGTTTTTCATAACTTCTTTGGTGGCAAAAGTCTAACCAAATTTGAACATATGTAGTATCAAAACCTGAGACTTTTTCCAGTTTTTCTTCATCCTATTTGGTGTGCATAATCATATTTCGTTGCAGAAATATTAATGTGTCTTATGAGCTGCTGCTCCAGACCTCACTGGGGGTCTGATGTACAAAGGATACCATTCTGAAATGCATACATTTTAAATTCTGAATGCATTTAGCCCCATGGAGTTAAGAAAGGAGTTAGAGGTCATACTCGAGGAGGGTTATAATGGGAAAGGCTGAGGTAATAATTTAGTCTTCCCATCAGATTGAGAACAATGTATTTCTTCTTAACTACCTAGGCAGTTGTTTATGTCCATAATAGATAAAAATGGCAGTCAATTTCAGAATGTGGTTCTTTGGATGTCATATCTGCTTCTTAAGCTAATCTGAGAAGAAGAATTCTCAGAACAGATTGTGAGAACAGAACAGGGTTCTGTTGCAGGCATGGTCAGAGAAATGAAGTTTAGCAACAACACAGGTAGGTACAGTAGAAAAATTATCATTGTCCTGTAAAAGACTCCAGCAAGTCACCAGGAATTTGGGAGCACCTTAGATGAGAGGTCCTTGCTTAGGTCTCTTATGAAGTTGTGGTCAGAATGGTTGGCCAGGATCTCATCCTCTGTAGGCTTGACTGGTACTGGAGTATGGCATTCCTTTTCTAATGTCAACAGGTACTTTATTAGTATATAAGGAAATTATAGAGCTGGGGGTGTGGCTCATGTGGTAGAATGCTTGCCTAGCAAGCACATGGTCTGAGACTGAATCCCTAGTACTGCAAAAAGGAAAAAAGAAAGAAAAAGAAATTCTAGTCTGTTTACATTTGCCCATAGTCTTAGTCATTCAGTATAAACCTCACAATTATTTGCAAAGTAGACTTTGAATCCTTCTAAGATTATCTGAAGATTTCTATTGGAGTGGCTTATGGAAGGGGAATGCCTTTGCTTTGAATGCTCCTGTCCTCCTCAGGCAGCTTTTCTTCACCCCCTCAAACTCCCCCTACCTCCCAACCCCATCTTACTATATTTTCTAAGTATTCTGTTATGACCTCCTGGGGAGTCAGTGAAGGAGTGTTCATTGCTCTGGATAATGTCAGGAAAAGACAGGGTCCTGCCTCAGTGGAAAGTCCAGCCCAGGAGACAAGCATCAGCCACACAATTCTAAATGTTTAATTACATGATTGCCAGTGTGTTTAAGAAACAAGATCTAGAAGATGCAATGAGAACATAGAATGGGATTGAACCTCGTTTGTGTTTTGCTTGATCAGCTCTTTCCCCCTTGTGCTCTGTAGGAAGAATAACTGACTTTGGGGACTTTTGTCAAAAGCCTTTCCCCTACTGGAGTAGAAATATGAAAACTCTTATACAGCCCACCCTGCATAAAACACTCACACTCTCCCACTGCAGAGATTCTGAGGGTGTAGTGTGTATAGTCATCTCAATTTTACATGAAAAAAGAAACCTAGGTGCCTTTGCAATTAAACCTAAACTGTGACGTTCTTTTCTCTTTTTTCACTGCCTACCTCTCACCTTCCTGGTACCTAAAATGCTCTGTTTTCTCCTTCACCTGGTTGCTTTTTTTCCCCAGTCTTTGAAAAGATGTAGTGTTATACAGTGTTGGAAATTTAATACTTTCTCTGAGCCTAGTTCTACTTAGAGAAAGAGAAACTGAAGATCCTGCGGAAGAATCCAGGTGGGGATAATTGAAAGAGAAGTGTGGAGAAGACTGTTTTGATCCTCTGTTGCAAATTAAGTGATCCACCTCTTGCATCTTTTCCTCTCCTAACAACAGTCTTCTGGGGGATTTCATAGAATGGGAAACCACTGGCAGGATCCAGCAAGGGTTTTTAATTCACACCTCTGCCTCCCCGTCCAAATATTTGTGACACTGTGAAAGGAAAAAAATGCACAAAGAGATGAAAATGCTACCATAAACCTTATAAACAACTCCAAATGTAAAATGTGTAATGACTGATATTTTGTGTTGCTTTTTATTTATTTGAGTACACACTCATGTTTTTGTTTTTGTTTTGTTTTGGTGGGACTGGAGTTTGAACTCAGGGCTTCATGCACTCATGAAGCAAGTGCTCTACTGCTTGAGCCACAACTCCAATTCAGTTGTCTCTGGTTATTTTGGAGATGGGGCCTCATGAACTGTTTGCCTAGCCTGGCCTTGACCTGAGATCCTCTCAATTTTAGCCTCCTAAGTAGCTAGGATTATAGGTGTGAATTACCAGTATCCAGTTTACCCTATGTATTTATAAAGGTTTTTTTATGGTTATTCATCACTTCTATTTCCCCCAGTCCAAGTTCTCTAACTATAAATTTTCCAGACATGAGCATTTTCAGAGCCCAAATTTCCAGTGTCAGAGAGAAGGGAACCGATTCCCTTCTTACTACTTATCATTGTCATAAGAATCTAAAGGCATCAAAGAGTCAGCCAAGCCAACAGTAGGTGCTTTTGACCAGCTCATGGAGAAGATCTGCCTCAAAACAGCCTGACAGTCTGCCTTCTTTAGGGATAATGATGCAGGGCCACTGGGAAAGCAGTCCTGGGTTGTATTTCAGGGTCTAGTACATTGGTACTCTTGCCTTCCAGTACATGAATCTAAATTAAATTAATTTGAATAGCAAATTTGCAATTTAACCTTGAACTCCCATGTTCCCTTTAAAGTGTCATTAGTATAATATATTCAGCTGAGTGACCCTCCTAGTCTCCCCACCATCACTTCTTAGTACCCAAACACACACACACACATACACACTCTCTCTCTTGCTCTCGCTCTCTCTCTCTCAGAGCTTGAGGTTATGTCCTCATAACAGCTTTGCTCATTATGGAATTTGATTCTAGCAAGCATGGATTTTCCAGAGATCTTCATGTTTGAAAGTGACTGTGCTTATCTTTTCTCTATGTTCCCTATTGAGATTGTTTTTTGGAAGGATTTAAGCATTCAGAGTGGGGAGGGCATGTGTGCATTTCAAAAACTGGGAAGATAACTAGGGTTTAAGACACTAATTGTGTATTCCCACTTCACCTGCCCTGTAAGCTGATGACACTTGCTTTTATGTGGCGTAGTCTCCAAAATGGTTGCTATAAACATGTCAGGCTTGTATTGAGCATCCACTGCATTTGAGTAGAGGTCCAGTTAAACTGGGGTCACCTATCTCAGTGTTTCTAGAATTTCTATATAAATCATCTTTGAGGGATAAATAATATTTAGTATCTTTGTTGGGATAGCATGTATAGTTCAATAACAATTTATATTTATGCTTTTTCTGAATCCTATGTAGTGACGTAAGTACTTAGCATGGCATATATACCAATATGTATATATTCTGGTGACTAACTTTTTAGAAAAATAAGTCAAGGTGATTCTTCCAGATTTCTGATCTAAAGTTCCTACCCACGAGTTTTTCCCATGTGCTGAAAAGAGTAGTAATGATGGGAACAGACTTAGATCTCATTGCAGCAGCCCCTAATTTGGTCATGTCTAATAACAAAGTACTGCTTTGATAGCTAAATTTTTCTTTTCTAATTTGATTTTTTTCCCCTAATATTTTATTAGGTGCAGAGAGAGCTAGCAGCTGTTATTGCATTGAAAGCAAGGAAGTCTGGTGAGTAGTCTTTTATGGGACTGGAGGAAGATTCTAATTCTTTAAAGCTATTTCCTGTACCACCTCAAAGTATGCAGTGGAGTGTATCTCAGGATGCTTTGTATAGAATGCAGAGAAGCATCACTGTTTGTTTTTAAAAACATTTATCCTGCCATCCTCATAGCATGGAATGTTATGTGTAGTTCTTTAAAGTAAAATTTTACTGCTTTCCTCTAATTTATTTAAGATTTCAAAGAAAAACTAAAATTGTCTATAGCCCACTTCAGCCATGAAAGATCTTGGTACCTAACAAAAGAAAGCAAATCACCTTGTATTCCATGTCATGACAGAAAACAGTGAATATTACAGTAGTGGTCCCTTTTTAAGGCTATAAATATATTTTTAACTCAAAGCAGTTTCTTCTAAAAATAATTGTTTAAAGATATTTCAAAGTGAGCATTTTTCATAGAACCAGTTACATGGCTCTGATTCCTCAAACCTGCAGGATATTATCTGTGGAAGTAATGTGTGGAAAGGAAAAGGGGACTTTTAAGTATATTTTGAAGAAGAAATAAACATTCTCTCCTGAAATTCAATATAAAATGGAGATTCACTGAAGTAGAAAAATGCTTGCTTAGAGAAGAGAAATGTCAGGAGTCATCTTGTGCCTTTCCTCCCTGTTCAGCGGGAGGACGTCAGTGCTGAATAGAATGAAAATCAGAAAGGAAGTACTTCGTGGATAATGTTAAACTGGAAAAAGACTTTGCAGCCAGAAGGACTGTGACAAAATCAAAGTGAAGACAAAACTTGAAGAAATGAATGGAATGGATGTGTCTTTGCACAAACTATACATTTTACATTTTTCTTTTTTCTAGTTAGAAGCTGTAAGGTTGGCTTTCCCTCTCAACTTTTTGAATCAAACACGCCTTTGTGTTCTTTGGTGAAGAGCTTTTTATATATGTGTTCCTTTCCTTGTTGATTTGGTTGATGTAGAGGACACAGAGACCAGATGTTATATAAAGAGGGTGGAGAGAAGGATGTGGGGAATGGTGAGCTTGCCTGTTGAACACTGAGAGCAGTGTAAATAGAGTTCCTCAGGGAACAGCATTAGATTATTATTTGCAGAGGTAGAAGCCAAAATGGAGAAAGGGTATCAAACTTGAAGATTATAAAAGGGAAGGCTTAGACATAAAGTGGCCTGGAGCTGATCTTGGTTCTTCTAATGATAAGGAGACAAAACTTAAGTCCATATGAGTTGGACTGGCCATGCCTGGAAGGATAGATTTTGTTTTTTTTAATTTTTTTTAAGGAAAAATATGTTGTAACATATAGTGTCATTGCCAAAGAAATACAGAGAAGCAGGCTGGAGAAAGGGTTAATAGATTTACCTAGAGTGGGATAGAAAGACCTCTGACAGAACAGAACCCTGCAGTCAAGGAGGGAACAAGCCTTGCGGATATCCAGACAGGAGCATTTGGGCAGAGGTGTTGTGCCAGGTGTGCTCAAGGAACAGCATGGCAGTCAAAGTGGCTGTTGATGAATGAACAGGGCAGACAAGAGGTAGGTCGTGGACCTTAGGCTGAAGATATTTGAACTTTCTGGGGGTGAAGGTAAGCAAGACCCATACATGTACGACTGTGTGAAAGGACTGGTAGGAAGTCAATTTTATTATGACTTACTGTCGCCATGTGAGTTTGCATGTCTGTTTCCCTTACCTGTTTATCTATGGATCTGGGAATACAAATGCAACCTTGGCAACTTCTCAAGGACAGAGTGGAGTCGTTGCATACACATATACTAATGCTGAGGACATAAGGTCAGTTTTTCAGGAAAGCAGTTGTTCAGTATGTTCCAGTGTCCCCACCTTTATGATCCAGTGACTATGGTTGGAGGTCTAATTGTAGGATGTCATCAGGGATGTATCAGAAGATGAAGGTAGAAGGATATCTGTTGCATTGCGTGGCTTTTTTTTTTTTTTAAAAAACAATTGAATTGCCTTTTCACTTTTGTCAAAAGTCCTGTGAATGTTTATTTCTTGTTTCTTCTGTCCTATTGAACAGATTCTGTTGGTCTCCACTGATACTACAGTCTTGATTTCCATAACTGTATATAGTCTGTGCATTAGGATGAATTTTATGTCAGTAGTATAGACCTGCATCATCATTTTTATTAGTCGCATATACTATACAACTCATTTAATTCTCAGTTTTACATTTAAGTTTTAAAGTTTTTTTCCATTCTAAATAATAATAGAAGGAATTGAACATACATTTTTGTATGTAGATCTTTCTGCCCTTTTTCAGTTATTTTTGTAAGTTACTAAGAATAAAATAGTTAGGTCAATAGCTAGGTGTGGACCATTTTAAAATTTTGTCTTTTGTAATTAAGAGTTGGATTTTTTTTTTAATGAATGTGGTATGAGATGGAAATCAAGTATTATGTTTTCCTTATGTTAAGCCAGTTACCCCAGTAGCATTCCCATTGGATTCTTTGCCCACGATCTGTAATGGTAACTCAGTCATGTATGAAGTTTATATATAATTTGAATTTCAGGTTTCCGTATTGCATTGATTTATTTACCTATTCCTGGCCTACAATGTCCTGTTTTAATTACTAAAGCTTTATAATAATGCTGGAGTAAGTCAGTTCTTACTTTTCTTGTTCTCACCATAGTTTTAATTTGTCAAGTTCAGGTAAAACCTTTTGAGAGATTTTGAAGAGTGTATTTAATTTGGGATGGGAATGTGGCTCAGTGGTAGAATGCTTGTCTAGTATGCCCAAAGCCACAGATGGAATCCCCACTACCCCAAAGGGGAAGAAAATACATGTGTTCAGTGTATAGATCTTCTGACACTTTGGAGATAAGTGTTTTCATCTAAGGAACCTAAGGTGTCTTTACATTTTCTGGGATCTTTGATATTATTTAAGAAGTTTTCCCATACAAATCTTGCACATTTTTATTTGGTATATTTTTAGATACCTTGTGGCTTTGGTTACTATTATAAATAAGCTACATATTTTTCTTTTTTTAAATTGTCATGTTCTCATTCTGTGATAGTTACTCTGTTCTTGTCTTCAATGAAACTCTTTTTTTGTTAAATAGACTTCATTTCTTAGAGCAGACTTAGGTTCACAGTGATTGAGTACAAAGTACAGGGAGTTCACATACACACCCTGCCCCACATACATGATCTACCCCACTGTCAACTTCCCAAATCAAAATGGAATATTTGTTAGAATTGATGAGCCTACATTGCAGCATTGTAATCACCCAGAGCCTATAATTTACATTAGGGTTCATTCCTGGTGTTGCATATTCTATGAGTTTAGAAAACTGTACAATGTTATGTATGCATATACCACTGATAGTATCATACAGAGTAGTTTCACTGCCTTGAGGATCTTCTGTGCAGGTAGGGGTGTAGCTCAGTGGTAGTGCACTTGACTAACATACGTGAATCTCTGGGTTCCACCCCTAGCACCACAAAAAAATAAAATAATGTAAAATAAAAAAAAAATCCTCTGTGCTGTGCCTGTCCATCTCTTCCTCCCTCCTCCCACTTATTTATTTATTTATTAACCATTTCCATAGGTTTGCCTTTTCCACAGTGTCATAGGTTGGACTCATACAACATGGAGCCTCTTTACACTGGGTTCTTTTACTTAGTAATATGCACTTAAGGTTCTTCAACATCCCCACATGGCTTGATAGTTCATTCTTTTTTAGTGTTGAATAGTACTCTGTTGTGTGGATGTACTATAGTTTGCTCATTCATTCACCTACTGAAGAACATCTTGGTTGCTTTCAGGTTTTAACAATTGTGTATAAAGCTGCTATAGACATCTGCACATAGACATTGTGTAGCTATGTTTTCAACTCATTCAATTAAATACCAAAGAATGATTAAGATCCTGTGTCAGAGTATGTTCAGTTTCCTTAGAAATTGTCACAGTGTCTTCCAAAGTGCTGTTCCAGCAATTGACGAGAGTTCCTGTCGCTTTGCATCCTCTACCAGCATTTGGTGTTGTATGTGTTTTGGATCTGGGCCATTTTAATTGATGTGTCGGGATATCTCATTTTTTTTCTATTGTTGTTATCAGTTATAATTCTCTAATAACATGTGATTTTGAGCATTTTTTCATGCCATCTGTTTATCTTCTTTAATGAGGTGTCTGCTCAGATCTTTTATCCATTTTAAAATTGGCCTTGTTGAGTTCTTTGCATATTTCTGCTAAAGGTCTCTTATCAGATATGCCTTTTGCAAGTATTTTCTCCCAGTTTGTGGCTTGTCTTCACAGTCTCTTGACATGTCTGTAAAACAGAAGTTTTCTATTTTAATGAAGACCACCTTTCCAATCTCCAGTGTCATTAACTATCAGTTTTATAATTTTGTGTTTTGCATTAGGTTTGCAACCTATTTTGACTTCATTTTTGTGAAGGATATATAGTCTGGGTCTAGATTCACTTTTTTTGCATGGGAATTTCCAGATGTTTCAGCAACATTTGTTGAGAATGCAATCTTTTCTTCATTATATTGCCTTTGCCAAAAGTTAGTTTACTATATTTTTGTAGCTCTATATCTGGGCTTTCTGTTCTGTTCTATTTGGTTATCCTTTTACTTGGTTCCATACTGTCTTGATCACTATAGCTTTATAGTAAGTCTTGAAATGAGATAGTGTCAGCCCTCTACCTTGTTTATTAACTTCCATATTGTATTGGTTATTCTGGATCTTTTCCCTCTCTATGTATACTTTAGAATTAGTATATCAACTTCCATATCTGTTATCTCTTCTAATTAACTTTTTTCTATATGAGAATTCTTGAGTTTGTATCTCACATGTGTTGAATTCAAATAAATTCTAATTACTTGTTTTAAAATTATCTAGGATTTTTTCTGTGCTAACAAATCATCTGTTGTAATCACTCTTTTGTCTCTATCTTACCAATCCATATAGCTTCTTGATTTTTTTTAATATTATTTCATTATTTGGGACGCTGGTATATTTGGGTGATAATGTCA